CACAAAGTTTAGAGAGCTGTGTATTTTCTTCAGTTTCCTGAGGGTACTGTAAAGGTGAGCATACGGCAATGCTGATATTTCTGACTTACCTTTGGCAGGCATATTGTTGGATCCAATAGAGCAGAAGTTCCACTGATGAAGCTATACCCAGAAGAAATGCTCAGTCCCATTTGTTCTGGATTTCTGTGTGAGCTGATACATCACTTGCCAGGTAAGGTAAATACATTTTATCCTTACATGATAAGCATACACTGTTTCAGGCACATTCTTCAAAAAGAATGTTCCCTTCCTTCTGGTTTGTTGCTCTCATTGGAGCCTCAACAGTGTTTTTTCCCCTTGTTTGGCCTTTCTCTTCATGTGTTTTTCTCATTAGCCTCTCCTTAACCAAGCTATTTTGTAAATAAGTCCTGAAAATAATGGTTAATAATCATTTAATTTACAAACTAAAGTCTCCTCTAATCTTGTGAAATAATAAAATCTCAGAAATGAAGAGAACTCCATGATTCACAAAAACCAAGATATGGAATTCATGTAGGAGCCCATCAACAGTGGATAGGATAAGGAACATGTAGCACATATACGCCATGGAAATACTATGCAGCCATAAAAAAGAACAAAACCATGCTCTTTGTAACACAGATGCAGGTGGAGGCTATTTTTCTAAGAAAATTAATGCAGGAATAGAAAACCAAATACTTCACATTCTTTCTTATATGTGAGAACTAAACACTGGGTGCTCGTGGACATAAACATGGCAACAACAGACACAGTGGAGTAAGAGAGGGGATTGGGAAGGAGGGAGGCAAAGGTTGGAAAACTAGCTTTTGGGAATTATGCTCACTATCTCGGTGACAGGATGATTTGCATCCCAACCTCAGCATTACACAGTCTGTCTATTTAGTAAACCTGTGCATGTACCCGAGATCTAAAATAAAAGTTGAAACTATTAAAAGACAGAGCTCAGTGATTCCGTCAGTATAATCTTTACCCAATAATGTACCTCCTTGCTAACTTCTACTTGGTCGATAAGTGCCAGAAAGAGCTTTAGCTCTTAGATCTGGTACAGTGCCTAGTGCACAGCAGACATTCAATTAATGTTTGCTAAATCACTGATTCAGCGAATGATGGTTTTTTATGTTATAGTAAATGTGACTTATCTTTGATTTTTACCATATTAGAAGAGCTTTATACTATTAATTTTAATAAATGTAAACTTTTCATTATAAAATCTCCAAAATAAAAGTTAGATGTGTCATAATTTATATTACTAATTTTTTAAAAAATTACATTCCTTTTTGTATTGTGCTAACTATATTAATATAATTTGAGTATACGTTCAAAGTTTTATCCTTTAAAGCTTTCTTCACTATGACAAATTTATAAGCACTGAACTTGAAAGAGTCAGCGAAATGGAAATAATAAATGTTATTGATATGTATTACTTTTCCTAGAGCTGCTGTAACAAATTACTGCAAACCGAATTGCATAAAACAACAGAAGTTTATTCTTTCACATTGTTGGGGGCCAGAAGTCTGAAATCAAGGTGTTCCAGGGTCAAGCTCCATCCAAGGTCTCTAAGAAAAATCTTTCCTGGCCTCTTCCAGCTTCCTGTGGTTACTGACAATACTTGATATTCTTTGCTTTTGGTGGCACAACTCCAATCTCTGTCCCTGTCTTCACATGGCCTTCCTCTCTGTCTGTATTTTTCCAAGTCTCTCTCTCCTTAAGCACAACAGTCCATTGCTGACGGATATTAAGGAAGACCTAAGTAAATGGAAAGATACAGAATGTTCACAGATCAGAAGATTAATTTGTATCAGATGTCAGTTATTCTCTAATTGGTCGATAAAATCAATGCAACCCCAGTGAAAATCTCAACAAGACATTTTGTGGACCTTGTCTAGCTTATTCTAAAAGTTATATAAAAATGAGAAGGATTAAAATGAAAAAAATATTTTTGAAGAGGATCAAAGTTGGAAAAGTTATACTATCTGACTTTAAGAGTTATTTTTAAAGTTTCAGTAATCAAGACTCAGTGGCATTGGTTTAAAGAAAGACAAATAGTTTAATGGAATAGGATAGAGTCTAAAAATGGACCCATACATATATGTTAAATTATTTTTTTGCAAAGATTGCAAAAATTTTTCAGTGAAAATTTAGTATTTTCAACAAATGGTGTTGGAAAAATCTGATGACACGGTATAAAAAAGAGAATTGGATTAGAAAAACCAAAATAAATTATAGAGATAAATGTAACACCTGAAACCATGAAATTTCGAGGGGAAAATAGAAAAGATAAATTTTTGTGATCTCACATTAGACAAATATTTCTTAGTTTTGACATCAGTATTATGATTTATAATAAAGTTGAAGAACTAGATTCATCAAAATTAGAAACTTCTGCTCTTTGATGGACAGTTAAGAGAATGAAAACACAAACCACAGACTGAAAATATTTTGGGATAAAGGTCTTGTGATAAAGATCTTGGATACAGAATAGATAATGAATTCTCAAAACTCAGAAATAAGAAAACCAACAACCTAATAAAAAAATAAGTAAAATATATGAAGACACTTCATCAAAGATGATATGCATATACATAGGAAAAAGATACAAAAATACTTTCAACATCATTATTCATTAAACCACATGAAATATTACTACACATCTGTTAGATTAGCTAAAATTTAAAAGACCATAATGTTGACAAGTATGTGTGCAACTGGATCTCTTATATACTGTTGTGAAAAAGAAAAATATTAAAACTGTTTTGGAAAAAAGTTTAATAGTTTCTTAAAAAGTTAAACATACACAGTCCCTATGATCTGGCTATGGAAACTCCTAGGTACATACACAGAAGTAGTGAAAACATATGTTCACAGAAAGAGTTGTACATATATGTTCATAAGCAGTTTTATTTGTAATTGCCCAAAGTTGCAAGAACCAAATTGTCCATCAATAGGTAAATGGACAACAATTTATAGCACATATATACAACAAAATACTATTCAGTTAAAAAAAAATGAACTATTGATGCACTCAATAACATAGATGAATCTCAGAAGAATTTTGCTTAGTGGAAGAAGCCAGACCAAAAATACTACCTGCTGTATGATTCCACACACATAATTTTTTAAAACACAAACTAATCTATACTGACTTAAAGATTCAGTGGCCGCCTAGAAGGTCATTTCAGTGATGAAAGGAGGTGCTGATTACCACATAAGAAAACTTTTGGGGTGATGGAATTATTCATTATTTTGATTTTGGTGATGGCTTCACAGGGAGATACATGTGTCAACATTTATCCAATGATGGATGCACTTTAATTATGTGCAGTTTGTTATATATCAGTTATACCTCACTAAAGTGGAAAAAAAAATTAGAAGTAAGTATCCCACATGTGGACTACTGAAGTTCTCAGCTTTCATTTCTTCAGTAGGCTTATGTAAAGTAAAATTTTGGTGAGCTTTAAAAAAATCTAGATCTCTTTGCCAAATTAATTTTGAGCAGCGTAACAGAAATGCGTGGAGTTTTAGGACATTTCCAAATCGCAGTAAACTACAGTTTAACTTGTAATAGGACAAGAGGAAGGAAAATAAAGCAAGAGTCGGTGGGTGGGGAAATCAGGAAAGGAAACCAGGAAGAAACGGGAAGTGCACTCGGCAGGGGAAGTGGCAAGACTGCGCCTGCACATTCTCACCCGCCTCTGTAGATTCTCTAGGCAGGTGGCTGCGAGTGGAGTAAAATGTTACAACGCAAGGCCTGTCCTCCACCACAAAAACGGTTCCTGCCTGTTAGCCCCACCAGCTGGAAACGCTGTGCTTGGAGCGTTAAATCGGGCGGACACCCGCCCCCGCGCCCCCCTCCGCCTTCCAGCTGCGCCGCGCCCTGCTCTCTGTCGCCGCCTGGCGGCGAGCGCCCGGGACCCAAAGGCGCTGGGGAACAGACGTCTCCGCGCTGGACGGGCGCCGCGGCTACCTCCAGTGGCTTTCGATGCGACTGCATCTTGGCACCAGCCTTGCTGCCCTGGAATGTCGTTTCCCAAACGCTGCGCTCACTCCGGCTTCTCTACGCTTTTATCTGTCAGGTCCCAGGTCTTGCGGGAGGGAGGCGGGTGAAGGAGCTGCGTTATCGTTATATGGTTGTGACACCCCCTGCCCCCCGTTTTCAAGGCAGAACTTTCATGCCTTTGGAAACGAGGGATCCAGAAGAGCCCTGACTGTAGGAGCATTGTCGCCGCTAGACCTCCGAGCTCCAAAGAACCGAGATGAGACAGAATCCAGATTGCTCCCTTAAATCCCAAGTAGTACTGTTTTTTCCACCTTAGAGTCCACCCCGCCCCCACATGTCCCATATATGGATCGGCCGCTTCACCACCGCGTTCCCAGGTTGGAGAGCGTCACAATGCCCCACTGTTCCCAACTCTCAAGTGGCCGACGGTGGGCAGTCCAGAAGCTGGGACCACACTCATTTGCCGGAGGGCACAACAGGAGGGTCCCTCCGGAGCTCCGAGGGTGACATGAGAACCAGTGGGGGAGAGAGGGGCGTTATAACGGGGCAGTTAGGAACGGACAGAGGCGCCTCCACCTCCAGCTTCTAACTCAGGCGAGGAAACTTCGAGACCTTCCTGTCCACACCTGATTGACAGGAGGAAGCTGTCGCGGCCCCGGAGGAAAGTGTGCGTGTGCAGAGGTGGAGACCCAACCTGAAAGCACGCGGAGCCGCCAGGGCTCGCCCTCCTGGACGGTAGGGGTCTGCGTCTTCTGGTGCCACCTACTCCGCCCGGCTGCCTGCTGGGTCCACCAAGCCTGACACCCCCAGCCAGGAGGGGATCACGGAGTGTGTCCCCCGCCCCGGCTGCTGCCTGCCGGGAGGGGGCGGGGAAGCCGGGAGCCCCGAGCGCCACTTCTCCGGCAGCGTCAGTTTCACCCAGGACCGGCTCGCGGTTCCCTCGCGGCTCTGCGCTGAGGTCCGCCTCCTCCCGCCCCTCCGCCATCCCGCGCGCTGCCTCCGCCTCCTTCGTCTGCCTCCACCCTCCACCCCCATCCCCGCCTGACGGCAGCGAGCCCTCAGTCCGCCCGAGCTCCGGTTGTGGGCGCTGCACAAGTCCAAGGCGCCTCCTCCCGATATGGACAGCCGCTACACCAGCACTGCGGGCATCGGGGACTTGAACCAGCTGAGCGCCGCCATCCCGGCTACGCGGGTGGAGGTGTCCGTGTCCTGCAGGTGAGGACGCAGCCCTTCCCCTCCCTCCTGCCCTCCCATCTGCGGGGTTGGTAGCACCTGGAGAGCGCTCGGGGTAGCACGAGGCTTTGCGCGGGGGAGAAGTTGCACCGTGAGTGGGAAACATCTCAGCAGTGGGGCTGGAGTTGCCCCGGGTCAGGTGACACTGAGAGGGGAGCGGGAATTAGAAGCGCGTGGTGGGCCCCGGGACTGAGACTTTTTATTTTCTTTCTGGGCAACGCTGTAAAAGTTGGCTGGGCTGTGACTCAGCTGCGGGAGCACCGGCCGCCGCCCACTTTACAAGCCCGGTTTCCGTCCCAAACCGGGGCTGGGTGGTTGGGTGACGACCGGAATCGAAGGGAACAGCACTGCCAAAAGCGCTCGTGACCGCCGCACGCATTGGCCTGGGACTCCGTCTGCGAGGCGTGTGCAAACGCGCTGTTATCGGGGTTGGCTCCAACCTGGGCTGCTTCCTCCCCACCCTCTTCCTGGAGCCCTCCAGCTTGCTTCCACTCCACCCTTCCGGGCTTTTTGTCTTTTGCTTGGTAGGTAGAGGTGTCGGCCCTCCTTTGCAGACGAATCTATGCCTTACCTAAGATCTGAGAAGTCATTTTTTTTCCCCCGGGCCCTAGCACATTTGAATGCTTCTAAGAACTGACTCTCGGCCGGGCCGGGCGCAGTGGCTCACGCCTGTAATCCTAGAACTTTGGGAGGCTGGGGAGGGCGGATTATGAGGTCAGGAGTTCGAGACCAGCCTGACCAATATGGTGAAACCATGTCTTTACTAAAAATACAAAAATTAGTTGGGCGTGGTGGTACACGCCTGTAGTACTGGCTACTCGGGAGGTTGAGACAGGAGAATCGCTTGAACCTGGGAGGCAGAGGTTGCAGTGAGGCGAGGTTATATCATTGCACTGCAGCCTGGGTGACAGAACAAGACTCCATCTCAGGGAAAACAAAAAAACAAAAAAAACAAAACAAAAAACTGACTCTCAACCCTGTCGAGAGACTGTAAATTGCAAACTCGTCGTGACGTTCTTTTGGTTATAACAGCATCACCTGCTCAAAATAAAGCAGCATCACCTGTTCAAAATAAAGTAGTATCACCTGCTCAAAATCGTAGACGATTTTGAGAAGGACGTGAGTGGACGGTGCTAAATTGGTGCTGGTAACTAATTTGTGAATTAATAGTAGTAACCTGCAGCCCACTCCTGTGTTTGCATAATTGGGTCTGTCTCACTGGAACATTCTCTCCTTATTTATCCATTGCCCTAAGGTGGTTTTTATGCCCTCAAATCATCTCTTTCCTTAACAAACTTGGCTTGAAGAAATCTAATAAATTTGGGTAATCTTGATGTAAATAAGTTTAAAATTCCATTAATCTTGACTTTGTATTTTCACAAACTGAGCCTAAAGCAAAGGAATTCTTTTCTGGGGGTGGAAATTTGAGCACCAGCAACCCTGGTAGAAGTATTCTTTGAGGGTAGGGGACGGCCTTTAGCATTAAAACTGTATCACCTGATTGCTGCCTCTCAAGACTGATCTTGGACTATGGAAATAATCATGCTGATACTGATAGGTAACATTAAGCTCTTGCCTTGCCTTATTGCCCTCACGGCTTTAAGTGCTGCTTGAGATTTTTCGGTCAGTGGAACAGGTGAAGCTGTATGGAAAACTCTTTAGACAATTCCTAGGCCTTTTTCTTTTCTCTGAAGCTGGCTTTGGATATTAGAAGGCAGTTACTGATATATACAGATAATGGATAGCCAAAAAGTCCAATAACAGCTTTACTAGAGTTCTTATCCTCTACTCAGCAGTCTGCAAAGTCTGAATGACATGTAGCCTCTACTTGGAGTGAATATAAAAGAATATTGTAAATCAAATCTGAATATTCCCATGAGCTTTTTAGGGGAAATTATACCTTGACTGGTCATTCTGTTTAGTAGGGCCCATATTTAATGCAGCCCTTATTTGATGCGTGTTTTCTGTGAGTGTGTTGGGCATACTGAAGTCAATTGGCTTAAGGCAATTTGTTTCAGCTTGCTGCCTCCAAACCTGGAAATCCCTTGTTCCAGCTTTTTTTCATAGCATTGCTTTGACATTTTGTTTTTAATTGTTAAGATTTCAAATAGGAAAAAAATCCTGAAAGAGAACCCAAATACTTAGTGTCAAGCATTTCTGCCAGGGCCAGCGGTGCTTAGTCTATTCTTTAATTGAGTTGCTCCTGACTCAGCTTACTATTTACGATAAGTTTGATGTAAAAAGCATCTTTCGGGCAAACAGAAACATAATTAAATACCCAAGTTAGTGCCTTTGGAATAGGTTTATATTTCCTGAAAAGGTGGGTTAATTTTATTTTTAAATACATTAAAGTTCAAAAATAAAAATTTTTGAGTATTGTTGAGACTTGGATCTTGTGACAATAGGAGGTGATGTAGTTTGGGCTTTGGCATCGGAGACTTAAGTACAAATTCTGGCTTTGTGACTTGTTCTTGCTACCTTGGAGTAAGTTCCTATTTAGTCTAAGCATCCTCATCTTCAAAAATGAGAATAATTATGGTATTTACCTTATATAGAATGGTATCAAGGTGATGTGTGAAAGCACTTACACAATGCCTGAAACAAAAACATGTTTTCAAAAATGTTAGCTATTATTAAAATATTGTTGAATATATATAACATTGTTGAATAAATATGTTATATATGATTCAGGTATGGACTTCTGTAAACAGTCCTTCTCTTTTGAACTTCAATAAGTTGGTAAAAGAACATAAGGATAGAACCAGAATTGAGATACCTGTTACTTCTTTCTCTATCCTCTTTGATGTGCATAAAGAACATGTTTTCTCGAAAGTTTATGGGGATTTCACTTAGCAACAAGGCACAGCTGGAGGCCTCTGAGCCTTACCATGGGCAGGCAGAGTAAGGAATTCCCTTTCCTTACTATACCAGAGACTTGTGAGGATTTGCTGACACTTAAAAGCAGCTCAGATTTGAATAAAATCTTCCATTCCCTTCCTCTCTCTTTCTCCTTCCTTTCTCTTTCTCTCTTTCTCTTTCTTTCTTTCTCTCTCTCTTTCCTGTCTTTTCTCCCTCTCTCCCTTTCCCTTCCCCTTCTCTCACCTCCTTTCACTGTCCCCTATCATTAAAAGTTTTATGACAAAGTTTTTCTTCATTTTGGGGAAGGTGAAAAAGATCAACAATTGAAGCTTGAATATAATTCATGGAAATCATTTAGTCTGTTCACTCACCAAGTATCGGAGTGTCTTTTATATGTCTATGTTTATGCTCTGGCCTATGAGAAATGCAAAAGCAGTTCTTTTCTCTGAAAATGTAAGATCTGATTCAGAGATAAACATTACCTAAGACATGGTAACACAGGTCTAAATTCAAAGATGAGGCTCATACACGAGAAAGGAAAGGATCATTGTGGAACAGAGTACTTGGAATATATTACAAAGGGGAGATGCGGCTTGGGCAGAGACAAGATGAATAGGCATGGTTTGGATTAAAGAAGGGACAGTGTACGTGGAAGTTTTGTAGTGGCTATAAATTTTGTGTGTTAGGGTGGTGAGAGGTACCCTTTCTCGATGTATTTATGTAGAGGCAAGCTCCTGCTATTTGACTTCCTCTTCTACCCATTGTCTAGCTCTTCTTGTATTCATTTTCCTTTATTGTACAAATTTATAGATTTTTAAATTAATTAGCTTGCTAATTAACTAAACATGCCGGTAGCTGAAATGATACAACCTTGAGAGATAAACTAAGGTAATCTTTCCGTTTTATTCTGAAAGCTTATTACTATAGAATGAGGTAAATTCACCGGGAAAAATAATATGTAGTAAATCACCTGTGTTCCTTGGGTTCTTGGTTTGTTGCACTATTTCAGTGATTATTGTTATTTTTCTCTGATTGAGAAGTCAGCTTATCAATTATAAAAGCAGTGAGAACATTGTGTATTTCTAGACTTTGTATGTTAGCTATCAAGTGTACATCCTCTCACAGAAATAATCCTACAGTGGTGATAATACTATTTATTTATTTGAGATGGAGTCTCACTCTGTGGCCAGGCTGGAGGGCAGTGGTGTGATCTCTGCTCACTATAACATTCATCTCCCGGGTTCAAACGATTCTCCTGCCTTAGCCTCCCAAGTAGCTGGGATTACGGGTGCCCAGCCCCACGCCCAGCTAATTTTTGTATTTTTAGTAGAGAGGGGATTTCGCCATGTTGGCCAGCTGGTCTAGAACTCCTAACTTCAAGTGATCCACCCACGTTGGCTTCCCAAAGTGCTGGGATTACAAGCCTGAGCCACCACCCTGAACCAATACTGACTTTAAGCATTCAAGTGGAAGGAAGACTATGAAGTGGAACTTGATTGAGTGCCTACTTTGTGCCAGGCATTCTAAAAAGCCCTTCCTGACCTGGCATAAGTCTATTGCCTCATCTCCCATCACTCCTTGCATGAACCCAGCAACTAAATATAGTCTGATAGAGGTGCTTAGCATCTGGCCAAAATGCATGCCAGATATATACAGCTAAGAAATGCTCATAAAAGGTACAATCCCCAAAGCATCAGCGTTCCTCCTCCTAGTCAACCAAATTCCTCATGCTTTTATGGCTACACAGGTGCTGCTTTTTGCCCTGAGCATCCCTTCCTCTCTTCCCCTTGTTTTCTGGATTAGGCCGTGGGCTTTTTTCAAGACTCAGGTAAAACATCATCATCTTTCACAACCCCTCTCCCAAGCTGGATTAGTCCCAAAGTACTGGGGTGTGCCAGTGTCATAGGTATATTACAACTCTTGGCCTTTCCACTTTCCTTGAGAACAAGTTTTGTCTCTTTCATGTTCATGTTCTGTATTCCGAGCTTGGCACAGAATTTGTAGTTAGTAAATATTTGATGCGATAGTTCTATAGCCAAATTGTCTAATGTGGGGAGAGGGATTTCTCCTGTTAAAATATCACTCCTAGGTCCCATAGCAGATCTATTGAGTCAAAATTTCTG